CGTCAGCTTTCCTGCTCCTCTGATGCTGCTTGGCCTGCTGTGTTCATTCAGCTCTACACCTTGTTATTTCAGTTCTTCGAATCTTTTTTCATAACTTGCACTTCATTCTGGAATGATCCAAATCACTTTTCTTTGAACTCAATCCAATCCAGTTTATGAATTTGTGCCTGTATCTGAGGCATATGAGATCTGCATTCCCCTATTAACTTGTATCAGTCTTTCTATAACAACGTATGCAGATTTACTGTAAATAACTCTTCTTATTAGAAACCATACATTGAGAAATCAGGAAGTTCAGACTTTGGGGAGACTTTAATCCTCAAGGGTGGGTTTGGGTTGTGGGATGAGGAAGGCAGGGTTATAATGGGAACTTGACTGAGAATGGCCAAATAGAAATTGACTATGTATTTTAATAATGTGTGAGTTCTGAACCTTAAAGCTTACACTATGAATTCTGACTCTTCCTCCAATACTGCTTGAGTCAGCCACTCATGATGTTGTATTCACCTTGCTGTAATGGTGGTATAGTCACCCAGGGTGCAGGGTTCAAATCTCATGATGGAATTTGAATTCAGTTAATAAATCTGGAATATAAAATTAGTATGTGTAATGGTGATCATGACAATAATCATTGTTGGTTTTAATAATCAATTTAGTTCATTAAGGGAAGGGAGGGAAATCTGTCATCTTTACCTTCTTCTGGCCTACATGTGACACGAGACTCACAGTAATGTAACTCTTAATTGCCTTCTGCAACAGCCCCTCAGCCCAGGGACAAAAAGGGATTGACAATAAATTCTGGCAGTGAGGCCCACATCTCATGAAAGAGTAAAGGAAAAAAGGCCTGATTCTCCTTCTCCCTGATGAGACCAGGTGGCTTCTCTCCCCAATTAAATTGCAACTTCCCTTCGTACATCCTAACAGCTGAATTATCTGACATCCTCTCTCTGGTTGCTTTCCTTCTAACAGGCAGAGAGTCTGTCAATCTGATTGGACATTCCTTTATTCATTAACAGGATGAGAGTGTCACTGGCTAGACAGCATTTATTGTCCATCCCTAATTGCCCAGAGGGCAGTTCAGAATCAACCACATTGCTGTGGGTCTAGAGTCACATGCAGGCCAGACCAGGTAAGGATGGCAGTTTCCTTTCCTAAAGGACATTAGTGAACTAGATGGGTTTTTCCAACAATCAGCAATTGATTCATGGTCATCATTAGATTCTTAATTCCAGATATTTTATTGAACTCAAAGTCCACCATCTACCGTGGCAGGATTCAAAGCCGGGTCCCCAGAACATTATCAGGGTCTCTGGATTAACAGTCCAATGATAATACCACTACTCCATTGCCTCCCCAAATATTGAGCTGGATAGCCGGACATTAAGCTGGCAACCAGCCATGCTGCCATTCAGCAGGGCATGAGGAAAGCTTTCAGTTTTCTGTCCCCAGTCACAGCCCCCAAACCAGCTCCCTTTCAGGCTCCGAGTGAATATTGCAGCCTTGAACTTCTGCTGCTGTATTTAAATGGCAGGCACATTTTCCTGACATTAAAAGTTTCAAATCTCTATGAGAAAATACTGGAAGGGAGAATTGTGCAGGGCCTGGCAATATCGTTTTCTGATAGTTGAACTGAAAGCTACACTGTGGAATGTGAGAAGATGACTGTTTGATACCACAGATGACAACAACAACAGTTAATGTCAGGGCACCTCCCAGTGGTACGGCTGCTGCATATACACATGGAGTTGCAACAAGGTCTATACTGGTCTGCAATTTTGAAAATTCATCTATTGGCACTGTACAGATGTTGATAACAGACTCATGCGTGCCACTTGCAGGATTGCTGTCAGAGTCTTCAATTATTTCAACAAACATTTGTGAAGTCCCAGAATGCAAAAGTAAAGACAGACATGGGCTGGTCCTTTGGATATCATGTTACTTACACTACCCCATAATGCATTGAAGGATTGTCAGGAATGTCTATACGTTTCAGTGTCACAGAATCATAGGATCTCTACAGTGCGTCATTTCAAATCAAAGTTTCATACGTGCTTCTTCAGTCACAGCTTTTAAAAGCTCTTGATGGTCTGGTGGTAGCACTGCTTGGAATCCAAGACACGATCAGCACAGACAAGCAACACATAGTCCTGAGAAAAAGAAGAAATTTGGCCCCAGATACGGACATTACCAGACCATTAAAGTACACCACACATTTATTTGGTGTAGATGCCTGAACTATAATATGGAATTAAAGATCTGAAGTTATGTTGCCAAAAAAATGAATGTTATCTGGACTGATAATGGGAAAATTTACAATAGTATCTGTTGTATAAGGCAGTCAGTACCTGAAAAGGCTAACTAGCATCACAAGATAATCACCACGCACCAGACATAAAGGATCATTCCTAAGAGGAGCTAACCAGTGTCCTAAGAGGCTTTTCAGTGCAAGTTCTCCATTTGCTCCAGAGTCTGAATGGTGTTTTAGTGACTTCTTAGTATGAATGACATGTAGCTAAAGTGACAACATGTATTTACTCTTAAGGTAAGCCTGATGTCTCACAAGGGACAATCGTGTATCTTATATATACTCAAGTAATTATAATATTTATTATTGTAACAACAAATACTAAGTAAAATGTAATAAACCTTCATTATTTAATCAAGACCAATTTTATTTTCTGCAACTACGTGATGTGGGCATCCTTCCACCACTTTGTTATCAGTAACTCAGCATCAAAAGGAAGGATTGTTGGCAGTAAATCTAAGCATAATAATGGGAGTACATTCAACTAACATTATAAGAGTGCCCAGTTACTTCAACTCCTAGCACTGGATAGATTTTTCATTGGGCAAATCTAGGTAAGCACGTTTTGCTGCACATTTGGTTATAAAAGCTATTAATGGGTGCAAACTGTCTTCTGAGTGAACACACATTCCTTCCCCCATTCACTGATCTTTCCCTTCCTCCAAATAGCCTAAATTTGATGTCATAGAGTCATAAAATCCCAAAAGTGTGGATATCTATGGCATTAATCTAAATTGTATCAACTGAAAGTGCCCATGCCATTATCTATCATCTAAAGTTAGTATTCTTCTAAAATGCAACAAAGGACTGAGGATACTGAAGATCTGAAACAAAAACGGAAATTGCTGGAAGAACTCAGCAGGTCAGACGGCATCTGTGGAGCAAAAGTAGAGTGAAATATTTTGAGTTTCTAACGTTTTGAGAACTGTTCTGAAGAAGGATCTCCGCACTCGAAACGTTAACTCTGCTTTCTCTCCTCAGATACTGCCAGAGGTCGTCAGCAATTTCTGGTTTTGTTTCAGATCTTCTGCAACACAGTTATTTGTTTAATTTTAAGAGAATATTCTTTTGCAGCTTCCATAAACTGTTTGGAAAAAATGCAGTTGGCCATATAAATTGCTGGCAATCTACTTTCAAGACATCAACCTAGCAAACTTAAATACCAATTTTACATGCATGTGATGAATGAACATCATGTTCTGGCATGGATATCATAAATTTGTCTGCGCTCTGATAATATACAAATAAAATTCCTGCTTGTTTATTGTTACAGTTTCCTTTCCCCAAGTGCATTCTGTTCAGAACATGTTGCACTTTTCAAATTGGGTAGACAGCTAAAGAATGTGATTTAATTCCAGTGCCTATTATCTTCACCTAATTGGTGACATTAACAATTGAAAACTTTGCACCATTTGCACAAGCGGCATTACCAATGATAAAAAT